CCAAACATATCTACTACTTACCAGTTGAAATGTGTGGCACATACTGGCAGTCCACATCCAAACATATCTACTACTTTCATGGGTAAGTCTAATCCACTTGACGAAGTATGTAAGCATATACCAATATCAGCAGAACCTTAGAGTAAATAAAAAAATAAGTCATTATAAATGACAGTTTGATATAAATCATTTAGAGAAAGCTCTGGAGCCGAGTACCCTGTCAGCTAAGATTCATAGTTGTTCAAATTTACCATATGATTTTTATGTAGTGCATATGCTTACATATATTACAGAAACTATGTCTATGATCAAAATATGTAATAATTGAATGATTGAGTCTTCGACAAATTGGAGATTTGCTTCTAATAGAACAAATATGGTACTACAGGTGCAGTATTTACAAATAAGTCTTTATGAAATCCATCATGAGCATCTGTTTGAAACATGTAGCTCACAGGTGTCTGTGAAGTGTGGCACATTATGGTAGGATGGGAAAGCGTTTCTTTTTTGTTGATCAACATCAACTTTTAATGCTATATAACTTGCTGTTGTATTGAATGATCTTAATATTACAATATAAATTAAAACCTCATCATTGCATCATTTTTTAATTTTCCTTTTGATGAGAAGCAAAGCTTTTTTTTCGTTTTTGGTCTTTTATATCTAGACTTTTGTATCTAGACTTTTATATCTAGACTTTTGTAATCTTGTTATGACGTGGTTGGTCAAGTTACTCACACACAGAATTTCTTTAATTAGCTCCACGTCTATATATTGACTGAATTATTAAGGGGATTGTGCTAGTCGGCAAACCAAAAATGTCACCTATGTATACAACTCTTTTTAACACACTACTGGTATTATCAGTTAAAGTGCTGTTACAACACTGAAAACACAGCCGAATGCCTCTGTACACAGACTCACCTAATAACAACGGATAATCTTCTGCAGCTAACCAAGGTGTACATATATGAACATGTTGAAACTTCTTTGTTGCTATGATACCTTGGTAATATTCTTTCATGGGACCTTTCCCAGTAATTGCACATACAATTTTGGGTAAACCGGAACTACTTTCACAGCATGCAGCTTCGTATTCTGAAACATTTTAAAAAATGTTTAATTTTAGAAACTGCAATTGCATTTCCAATATACTGAAAAATTTGTATTTTTTTTGCTGGAGCTAGAAATGTTCACAATTTCAGAATTTTATGGAATTTTTAAAGACAAAATTTTGTAAAAGTCACTGACAGTAAATGTCATAGAAAAAATGTTCACTGCTACAAAAGTTCACAAATTAGTCTCTCGCAAAAAATTTTAACAGATCACACTATATTATCATGCAGTGACTATAATATAGATACTGTGGAATACTTTATTTTGGCTTGGAATTTATTTTCGCTATTTTTGCTGAAGGAAGGAATGATTCAGTGAAAATAAAATCCAGCCAATATACCTTTTTTCCTATCTTTTACATTCAACTCGCCAAAAATCAGTGAAAATAAATTCCATATAACACACATAAAATGGCATTTCAGCAAAAATTAATTCCAGTGAAGATAAAGTATTTTACAGTATTTGCTTCTAATTTTAATTAGAGAACTTCCCTGTATCTTACTAAGTATACCAACGATCTGTTAACTGCACAGATATTAACTCTTTGAAGTCAGTTACAATTCCCAAAATAAACCCACAAGATTGTCGGCATTTGAAAATTGTGCTAAATTTTTGTGGGGAAAATTATAGTGCTCAATATATTGACACTTCTATGACCATTCTTAACTTTTTTCAAAATTCAATATCATTGAATAAAATCACATGCAATTGTGAAAAAAATAACAATAAATTATAAAAAAATGATAGAAAAACATTGTGATGGGACTGACATTTGTTAAATTATTGTAATCGAATTCTCCATGCTTTATGAAAATTCACTGTTAGCTCCCTCTGTATCCAAGCACAACTGAGGGCTGGTTGTTTGATGCAGAAATGTTTGATTTTGATGCATTTTCAAACATCAAAATGACAGTGTATACATCTCCTGACATGAATGCGATTGACCCAGGCATGTCCAAACACATGCATGCATGGCGGTGAATCCATATCATCCCCAGCTAATGTCCAAATTAAATTGACCAGAAACCTTTTTTTTCGGGGCTCGAGCAACCACAGACTCTTGATTGCATGTCACATCAATTCAATGCTTGAATAAATAAAAGAAAAATTTACTTTCTAAAGCTGAAAGAAGTATAGAAAAATCTTCATCTTCAGTCCAACTAGTACTGCTTATAAGCAAAGCAGGTCTTTCATTTATTGATTCAACACCACCATTACTAGTTTTTCTTGTAAATGCTGTTGTGTATTTCTTGTTTTCTGAAGCACCAAAGACTGCATAGTCTTTTGATAACCTGAGAAATAACTGATTTTTAAGAAAAGTAAAATAAAAAGCTTGTGTTTATTATGTTTATATTCATGAAATAATATTTTGCAGCAACTTAAGGGGTACCAATTTACCATATTTGTGAGTTTAATATGAACAATTGTTTGTAGTCTGCTATTTCCATTTTATTTATAGTTTGTTTTATATTTACATTAATCTTTTCACCACCCTCTATTCATCACAAATTTACAAAATAGTCGTATTCGTATTTATAGTCTGCACTTTTCCTTCAGATGATTAGGACAAAAATAGCCAAATGTTTTGAGTAAACACTGAAAATTTACTCAAATTAAGGTTCATTTCTAGAAATACTGAAGAACATTAGAAAAAAAGTGCAGAAAAATTTGGGCGAGAAAGTCTGGCGGTGAAATGGTTAAAACACGATAAAGGTTCATATAAAAGCAAATCAATCTTTGCCAAAGTTTGATGCAAATTTACAATAAACTCCAAGAGTTATTGCTATCGAAAGAAAGAAAGGGACATTTTGTCACTGTAATGGCTTCCTCAAATTTTGTTTTGGGAATGTTAAAATGTTGATCATTTGACTCACCTTGTGTTGTTCACTTTTTGAAGTTTGTTTAAAAATAAGTGGTGGTCTGTCGTGCATTGTAACAGCTTTTATCGACCAGTTTACAGCAAGATCTTCTTTCATAGCATTCGTAACACACAAATTATCGTGAGAAAATCTACCAAATAATTTCTCATACCTGTCAATAAAAATATTTTAACATAGTGAAAATATAAAATTAAAAAAAAAAATATTTTAAGTTACACATTTTGTAAAATGTTTAAAACAATTATACAGAAAGTCAAATTATATATTCTGTTCAAAATTAACCTTTTCCCCTCCGGTTCTCTCTTTTCACAACAAATTTACAAAATAGTCTTGTTTATAGTCTGCACTTTCCTTCAAAAGATTTCTTGAGTAATAACTGAAAATTGTGCTTCAAAATTAGAGTTCATTTCCAGAAATATTGAAGAATATAAAAAAAAAAGTACAATATATAAGAAAAAATTAATAGGGGAAAAATTAATACATGTAGACCTACCATTTAGATATTTTTACAAGTGGATGTTTTTTACCAACTGCCATACTCAATATGGTATAACCATAATTATGCCAATCAATGAATAACTTTGAGCCACGCAGAAAGCAGATGAGGCTGGCTACACCGATTGTCGGCAGTGCAGGAGGATTCTGAAATGATAAAAGATCACATCAGCTGATACAACAAATTATAAGTTTTGACTGAAAAAGGTTGAATTCTCCATTATAGTGAGGCAAACAGGAACGGGGAGTCAGCAAACTCCTTAGGAAAGTCCCTATAAAACATTGCAATATAGCAACGACTAATGTTATGAAAATGATCAGCTACACTATGGCTAAGTTGTTGTCTGTTTTCAAATTGCAACTATGTTGTGACTATACTAAGGAAGTTGTAAATTATCTACACAGATCTTATTTGTGGTTGTTTCAATCATCTGGGAGAAGTTGATGGGGTTATATGAGCACTGATACAGACTTTCAAAGGGAAGTTGCACCTTCTATATTTGCATATTTGTTTCAGATGTCTGTGAATTAAAACACCATCTAGGGATGGCCAACTGATAATGACTGCAACAGTTGATCCATGCATTCTCATGTGAATGACACAATTACTAAGGTTTAGCTAGTTTGAATCACAACAATGACAAGCACTGTATTAGATGTATTCGATGTGCAGAACTTTCATTTCCAGTTGGGTCATTATATCTGTTATTTCAAGACAATCCAGTTACATATACATGTAGTTTTCACCAAAAATTCTTGGGTTGTCATAGTACCAGCTATAAAAACATACTGAAATAAAAAATATTAGTTAATTCCAAACTTTTTTCAAACCAAAACAAGTTAAATACACTGATTAATTTGCCTGAATTATGTATTTATTAATCAACAGCATGAAATAAATCATCATTCAAACATGCAGATATAATGATCTTAAAAAGTGACAAATTTGAGTGACACATACTGACCTAGACTGTCGACAGTCGTTATTATTAATAAATATTGTGTATACACGTAATATGCGTGAGTAAATTGCGAACACCAGGACAGAAAGTATGGGGTGCTGTTAGGCACAAGATGGCAAGATGTAGATCGATCGTCTCTGCCACAACAAATTTGATTTCTTCACATGGCGTAGTTCTGTTGATCCCGCGAAAGTCTCCTCTGGTTTTCTATAGTTTTTTATTTGACTGCAACACAAACAATGCACATTGTTTCCTTGGTTCTAGGCGATTTAATAGTTTTCTTTGTTATTTTGGTTGGAGTAACTGTATCAGCCTACACATTCAGGAGGTCAGCCATTTAGAACAAAGCTGCATACATTATGTTAATATAATTTATTTCGTGATGTCAGCATCAACTATGAATTATTCATATCAACTAGAAACCTGCAGACAAGGACAGTCTCTCTAACTAACGTCCTTCGCGTGAAATGCTTCGAGTGAAATGCTTCGCCTGTCGACAGTCTAACACTGACCAGAAACCAATTTTTGTTGGCTTATATATCAGTAAACCAAGTGATCAACAATAAATCTGAAAACTGTGATTTGAGATGCACCACAATTTCTCCTTCAGACAAGAACTATTCTCCCACAACCACACTCACAAACAGACTTACCTGTAATAATACCAGCTTTGGTTTGGAAATTCCCAACATAAGATAAACTGCCAATATAAAAGACTGAAGAATTATCTTGAATCCATAATGAAATATTCTTGGAATAACTACAAATAAAAAGAAAACATGAAACATCAAATCTGTTACAGAAATGTTATTACAGAAATAGTACTGGTATATCAACTATAGAGTTAAAGAACACAAAAGTGTTGCTCACAATTGCACAATCTTATTAAACGTCGAACATAAAACGCTATTCAGCTCGTGAAATGGATCAAATGCAGGCAATTTGGCAGACAAGAAAAAAATTTCAATCCCAACTGCGTTACTTTGTAGCGGCTTCTTAGTGATTCTCAGGGAAGTTTACATCTTGAACAACAACATTGCAACATTATTTCAATACCGCAACAATTATAAATACGCGTGTCACTAATATAGTTTTTTAATAATACATGTAATTTGTTTGTTCGAATCGAACATGATAATAACTCTGACCAATGCAATTCGATGTAAGGCTCCACAGACACAGACCTCACCACATACTTTGAATTCCATTACTTGCTCAGATGATATTCAGCGTTTCTATGAATTGCATAAACATTCTATTTTTTTTAATTGCTGTTACATACAAATGTGCTATTTATGTAAAATGCTTTTATGATTATTTCACATTTATTTTGAGTATTTTGTACGAACCCATACAAACGCATATGGATTTTGGTGACATGTTAATGTATGTGTTCACAGTGTTAACCCAAATGTACTCACAATGTATGAACCCATACAAACGCATGTGGATTTTGGTAGCATGTTAATGTATGTGTTCACAGTGTTAACACAAATGCACTCACAATGTATGAACCCATACAAACATATATGGATTTTGGTGACATGTTAATGTATGTGTTCACAGTGTTAACACAAATGTACTCACAATGTATGAACCCATACAAACGCATGTGGATTTTGGTAACATGTTCATGTATGTGTTCACTGTGTTAACACAAATGCACTCACAATGTCTGAACCCATACAAACACATATGGATTTTAGTAACATGTTAATGTATGTGCCCACAGTGTTAACACAAATGTACTCACAATGTCTGAACCCATACAAACACATATGGATTTTGGTAACATGTTAAACCACTTATGCCGTTTACAATACTCACATTTTGGTAAAACAGGAATTTGCGGCATTTCATGTAAAGTGATATTTTTACAACTTAAGAGTTCATCATGTGGCTTTGAACCTAAAGATAACAAGAAACAAGTAGTCATCTGGAATCCCAGTCTTGCAGTCAGAATTATGCAAAAAAAACTTTTGCTTCTTGAAAAACAAATTAAGGCATTTTTTGGGTGAATATTTGTGTTGTAAATATATACATTTTTGACATGTGTGTATAGTTAATTCTGCTTCAGTCATATGACCATCATTTCGTAACAGAAATATTCTATTTCAACAACGCCCATTCCGCTACGGACGACACCCCCCCCCCCCACCAATATATATCAGCACAAATGAGTTTCAATGTCAACTATTTGGGCACGTTTGTTAATGATATTTTAAATGTTAATAAATTATAAACTTGTGATTTTGTTATATTTTGAACATTTTAATTGATGTGCTGTGATACATTCAATTGATCATAAATTATGTATTTGTATTCCCTGCGTGATTTCGTGTCAAATAAAATTTACTACTATTCCTAGACTAAGACACCCTTCTACTAAAAGTAGTTAGTCTGCGGACTGTTAATAATCACAAATCTAAAAAGTAAAATCGATACCTCCATATCCAAGCATATCAACGTGGTAGCCATGTCTTGCAAATGACAGGGCATGATATTGCATACGTGGGTGACGACCGATGTCTCCGAGAACAAGTACGCAGACCCTCTTGTCCATGCCGGGAAATCGCAATACCAGACACAATAGAAGAATCAGCGACAGCAGGCATAGGCATATATAGTTACCACCCGTATCAAAGGCAATGACGATTGTTGCAGAAAACAATAATACAAGCGACAGAGCCAGTCCTTCCCAGACTCTGTAGGACGCTGCCATATTTTATTTCAGACGATGACTCTGGCGATGACCTCAAACATGTTAAGTGAACGCCCTCAACATGCGAAAGATGTGCGTATTTGTTTTTTCGATCGACAGAATAATATACTAGTACGGTACATGCGCTTCATTTTGGGAGCGCAAAATAGCTTCTTTTGGTGCGCACTATTAAAGATAATGCGAACAAGATCAGTTTTGGTCAAAATTATGTCTGCGAATGAAATGACAGACAAAGAACTATTTTTATTTATGTGTACCATTATGTGAAATTGATGTGTTTTTTTAAAAAAAGTGTGTTACTTGAAATTCAACAATAAACAAAGCATTTATGTGGCACTGTGCATCAAATAACTGTACATGGTTGCATTACCCCGGGGTCACGTGAAGTTGGACTTCATGGCAAATATACGTCCAGAGCAGCACAAGGCGGAGCGCAGAATGAGTCTTATCCAGAAATAACATGGTTCTTAAGTTATACCACCTTGTATAAATGCAGACACAAATTATGAACGAATATAAAATAGGTGATTACATTTTACATCTTGCCCATGTCTATAAATTTTACGTTTTTTTATTTATTTAAATTACATTATTACGAAAATAAAAACAATTGATTACAGCTTATGAAAATACCCCTTGCTGACCTTCTGTATAGCAATCACCAATGGTACTTCAGTAAAATGGTCTTTATAGACAGGTGATTTTTATAGGAAGGTTTGATTATTTATTTTATGAATCACCAAATCATACTTTATAGTCTGGAAAATAATGAAATGATACTGTTGCAAAAAAAAAAACACATTTATTTGAGTTGATCAGATTCAAACGAGTTTGACTTGAGAAAATTAAAAATTGTTCATGATCAAAATGTTAATTATTATTTTTGTTTCAAAACAGGTGATTCTGCAAAAATATTGCTGAAAGAGTGATCACTATAGGAAGGTGGTCTTTATATAGAGGCTGTCACTATAGGCAGGTGGTCTTTACAAAGGTTGTCACTATAGACAGGTGGTCTTTATATAGAGGTGGTCACTATAGACAGGTGGTCTTTATATAGAGGTGGTCACCATAGACAGGTGGTCTTTATATAGAGGCTGTCACTATAGGCAGGTGGTTTATATAGTGGTTGTCACTATATGCAGGTGCCCTTTATATAGAAGATGTCACTATAGGCAGGTGCTTTTTATATAGAAGATGTCATTATAGGCAGGTGGTCTTTATATAGAGGTTGTCACTATAGACAGGTGGTCTTTATATAGAGGTTGTCACTATAGACAGGTGGTCTTTATATAGAAGATGTCACTTTAGGCAGGTGGTTTATATAGAGGCTGTCACTATAGGCAGGTGGTTTATATAGAGGCTGTCACTATAGACAGGTGGTCTTTATATAGAGGTTGTCACTAAAGACAGGTGGTCTTTATATAGAGGTTGTCGCTATAGGCAGGTGGTCTTTATATAGAAGTTGTCACTAAAGACAGGTGGTCTTTATATAGAGGTTGTCACTATAGGCAGGTGGTCTTTCTATAGAGGTTGTCACTATAGGCAGGTGCTCTTTATATAGAGGTTGTTACTATAGGCAGGTGGTCTTTACAGAGGTTGTCACTATAGACAGGTGGTCTTTATATAGAGTTGGTCACTATAGACAGGTGGTCTTTATATAGAGGTTGTCACTATAGGCAGGTGGTTTATATAGAGGTTGTCACTATAGGCAGGTGCTCTTTATATAGAAGATGTCACTATAGGCAGGTGGTCTTTATATAGAGGTTGTCACTATAGGCAGGTGCTCTTTATATAGAAGATGTCACTATAGGCAGGTGGTCTTTATATAGAGGTTGTCACTATAGACAGGTGGTCTTTATATAGAGGTGGTCACTATAGACAGGTGGTCTTTATATAGAGGTTGTCACTATAGGCAGGTACTCTATATAGAAGATGTCACTATAGGCAGGTGGTCTTTATATAGAGGTTGTCACTATAGGCAGGTGCTCTTTATATAGAAGATGTCACTATAGGCAGGTGGTCTTTATATAGAGGTTGTCACTATAGACAGGTGGTCTTTATATAGAGGTGGTCACTATAGACAGGTGGTCTTTATATAGAGGTTGTCACTATAGACAGGTGGTCTGTATATAGAAGATGTCACTATAGGCAGGTGGTCTTTATATAGAGGTTGTCACTATAGGCAAGTGGTTTATAGAGAGGTTGTCACTATAGGCAGGTGGTCTTTATATAGAGGTTGTCACTAAAGACAGGTGGTCTTTACATAGAGGTTGTTACTATAGGCAGGTGGTCTTTACAGAGGTTGTCACTATAGACAGATGGTCATTATATAAAGTTGTCATTATAGGCAGGTGGTTTTTATATAGAGGTTGTCACTATAGACAGGTGGTCTTTATATAGAGGTTGTCACTAACATGGGTTTTACTGTACTGTACTTGATTTAAATTAAACATAGTTTATCAATACAAAATTAAAAGAAGGCATTCATTTTTTGTATGAAAAGGAAGACCTTTCACTTCACTCAAATCCAAAAAATATAGTTTCACGAGTGACAGAAGCCATTGTTTGGTTACGCTCATTAGTCTTTGTGGATTTCATTCAATCTTCACCAGATTTATTACTATACATCCGTATAAAGGTGTTGTGATTGGCCAGGTTGTTTCCAACCATCAATTGACATTTATAAAATAATTATACATATTGTACACATAAAAAATATTCATGCCTTCATGAAATTTACTGCACAGAAAACTTAACTGTTCCCAGCAAAAAGGTTGATAACTGAAAAAAATATATATATTTTTTCCTAGGGATGGAAATACATAACTTTTGCTAGTTTACTTTCTTTCAGGGGCTTGATCGTATGTATTGTAATTCATTTTCATTAAATAGACATTTACCATCATATTTGTAGGAATGACAGGATGCACGTTGTCCCGGCTCGTAGTCGACGCATGATTACATACACAAGTATTCAGTTACTATAATGAGCAATGAAATATATATACATTTGCAGACGAATGTTAAAAAACAAAGTAATTCAATTTATTTGCAAGTTTGTACAAATCTAGTATTGATACACAGGATACAAAGGCAGTATTGTAGAAAAATATGAAACAAGTAACTACAAGCGCAGTGGTCGTAGCGCAGCGCGTGTTCGAATTTCATGTAAATAAACAATGTATTTTACACGCGTTGTATACGTCGCTATGAGTCCCATATCAAACAGGACGCGGCACAACGACTGCCGCCTTTACATGTATCTTAGTATGTGATGATATTCTAGTAAGTCAAAGACGACCTTTGACTTCTAGGTGAATCCTGATGTACAATTAATTCATTGTTTTTAAAATATCAAAATACTGAAATTAAGGATCGCAGACTGATTTTAATAACATTACAAATTCTCACTCAAATAAAAACAAATACAAATCTGCATACCCAAACTTGTTTCCATGGCAACAACTACTTTAGACATTCCCCAATAGTGATACACTCACTCAGACTGCCATTTTGAATTTTAAAATCGATCAAACAATTGAGATTCATTATTCAGTTACGGAAAGTCTTTTCTTTGGACTTTTAAACTGTCAGTCCATATCCAATATCCATTCTAAAAATAATTCTGATAACAAGAATGATTTCAACTTTAGCAGAGTATACTGGGTTGGTAGTCCCAGATGTACAAGACATAATCCACAAGTAAATGCTATCTCCTTGGGATTATCCTTAATTTGATAATTTTGACCCCCCTCCCTCCTCCCACTATAAGTAAACAAACCACCTAATAAAATAAAAATATCCAAATTTAATTTAATTAGTATTTTTATTTTGCAATTCATTAAATCATGTTTTATATCATTATTGCAAAGAAATAAAACTATCGTTACTTTTAGTTGGACCTTAGAGTCTGTTTTGTGTTTTGTTTCCACTTTCTCCAGTAAACCCACAATCGATATATACAGATTCAACCTCTCAAAAAGTATCATTTTAACATATTACCATATCAATAGATATTGCTGTTGGAAACATTGTCATAAAGATTGAGGCATTAGATGGTATATAAAAAGGTCTATTTAGCTAAGACATCAGGCATGGATCAAGGCATACAGTGACGTGGCAGCCAGATTTACCTATGTTATGCTGCACGATGACAAGCCTTTGTAAACTGACAACAGTCACTCATCCTTCCTTCTCCAATCTCAATGTCAATATCAGCACAAAATTCCTTTAACATTTATATTACAGTAGTCAAGATATTCAACTCATCAGTGATTGATGATCACCATTATTCAGAAACTCATCTTTTATTGGATGAATTTTTAAACATAGAACAAAGTAACTCTCTTTGACCACCACCATTTTGAAATAATCTCATTTTTAAGGATGGTTTTGCCGGTGTCGGTAACACGTCGTCATCATCTTCATCTCCTGAGTCCTCGTCTTCCACACTTTCATCTAAATTAATAACTGAAAAATGCAAATAAGTTACTTACTCCTCTTCTGCTGGGTGAATAATGATAGACGACACACAAATACAAAGTTATTTTGTATTGGTAGCCATGATGTTTGTTTGTTTGTTTTTTGTTTTATATTTTATATTTTATAATCACATCTAGATAATCTGTCCTCGATGTGAGGCTACTCAAGGTTTCACATTGCTTACAAATCAATATGTTGAACATGACAATATATCAACTCTCAAACTAACATTTGTTGAATCATAAGTTCAGACCACACTCTAGTATGGCTGAGATTAAATCAAGTTCCAATTGTTTGCATATCAGCTAGACCCAATTGTGGATATTTAACTTTAATTTCTCTGTTTCTCTGTTCTCTGTAACTCAGCCCATACTAAGCATTCAAACACTTTTCTTAGTACAGGCTAACGTTGTTATTACAAGATATTACTAGCTATGACATTATATACAAATCTCAAGGCAGTATAATTTCAAGTGTATGCAAAATACCAATAGAAAACAATACAGAATTATAAAAATATACATACCACACTGTTGAGAAGAGCTTGGTGTTGGATCATGACCAGTTAAATTTTCTTTATTTGCAAGGAGAAATGCTGGTAAGTTCTTAGGGTTGAAATTACAGGATTTTTTATGTGACGCCAATTGTTCCAGCTGACCGATGTGAAGACAGCCTGACTTCCTGTATGGACATGCAACCATTTGATCTCCTATTATATTTGCCAGAATGAAATCAAAGTGCAGCTGATGAATCTGAACTGGTTTTCTGAAAAATAAGTAAAGTAAATATTGTTATTGAGTTGACTTAGAAATCAAACAAAGTTTTCATAACAGTATTCAATCCATTCAATATTGTTACTGTTAATTTTCGCTGATAGGTAAAATATGCTGAATTGAATCTACGGAACATGTAAAATAATACTAAAACTCATTGTTTCTCAAATTCGTGAAATTAAAACACAGTGAATTTGCTCAAAACATCAAAATAGTGAAAATAAATTGTTTCACAGTACTAGTAGTCGAGAAACGTAATTATTATTATACCAAAAAAATTAAAATGGCATCTTCCATTTTATTGTATTTCATATACCGCGTATATGTGGTAAATTACTTTCTTAGTGAGTAATACACTGAGAAAATAAAACAAACTGCGATAATCATAATTAGGGTTACTCAAGTATCTTGCCTATCATTTGCAAAATTAGATTTCATGAAATTTCATTTTTTTTTAACCTAAAAATGGTATGTTTTTAAATAGCAAACTATAAGTGTTGATTACTCACATCAAAGTATTTATAAATCTTTGAAACTTTAAAATTTGTGTCACCTTATTTCATACAAATATTTAGTGTTTCATAAAACAAGATTTGTCTGAAAAATTGGATGGTCCCACGCCATAATTTAATTTGTATTTTTGTTTTCACATCTGTATTCCAAAAACGGGTTATGAAAAAAAGAATTATTATTATTATTTATACACATTTTATATAGCCCTCTGTACTATGTTTCAAAGTGGTTTACAGAAACAAAATTACACAAAAAAACAAAACCATTAAAAACACTCTTGTCCCATGAGAACTGGTGCCATAATTCTGATGGTAAATTTTCCCATAAATAAATTACAAAAAGAAAACATCTCCATTAGTTTTATAATAATCGGATCCTTTAGAGATACAACCTCAGTATCTTATTAATTAGGCAAATGAATATCTGTGTGAAACATGGCTTAGATTTTGCAGTCACTCAACCCGTTTGATTCAATTTTCTTCATTTTAATTTAACAACAAGAAAATAGCACATACCGGGGTAACTGGGCGATAGCATACATTTACAATAAATTTTATCTTACCTGTCATCGGGACATGTTTTACTTTTATGTAACCATGGTAAAATGCACTGTAGAATTGAAATGGAAATACTATAAAGGTCTTATAATGCATTTAAACTCTCCATATACGAGAAGATGATAAACATGAAAAGCAACAAAGGTAACCTGACAAACCAACAATAGACATTTAGAAATTAGATGTGAATGGCCACCAAGTTATTGTTAAAAGTGAAAGAGCCACATAACTTATTCTTGCCTCTCAGTAAAGATCTATTTTCCTGCATCCATATGTAACTATGGTAATTGGAACAGTGGACATGATGACACAAAAAAGAGAAATGAATGGGGCAAACTAGTCTCACTCTCAACAATATCTTGGCAGCCATTTTGGAATAAGATGTACATCTATGTATCTTAGCAACAATTTTGGAATAAGATCTATGGCACACTCATGTGAGTTGCCAGCAATGTACTGTAAATTTCACAAGGGGCAAATTTTCATGAATTTCACAAGTCAGTGAAATTCACAAAATTTTGAAGCAGTGACAAATTCTCTGCGGTGTCAGTGACTTTCACAAAATTTGTCAAGAAATAGACACACCATGATTAGATTTGAATCCCTCTTACCTTTTTACAATAGCTATGTCCACAAGGAGCTCTTTGAGGCTCAATGAAAACCTCCTGACAGATGGAACAATATAGATGTCTACTAACAGCCGTCGGGTTTAGAAAATATCTAACAAGAAAAAATATCATACATCACTCATTTTTAGTTACTCAAAGATGCAATCTGCACTCAGAGTTACCCATGTTTAGAAGGAACCTTTCTTGAGGGAGGTGGTACTATCCAGGGATCTCGCCAGCCCAACGTGAGTGCTGGTCGGTCATGAATATTAATGAGCTATATGAATATTAATTAGCAATGAATATTAATAAGTTCGGTCGCAGCAAATATTTTTGGAATTAAGAAATTATGTTTCACAATTTAGAAGAGATTGAATTTAAAAACATCGATTTCAGTTGAAAACTGCACAACGGTGAACGAAAGAGGTGATTAGCAATTTTAAAAGGTAAAATAGGTTTTGAAAGAAGAGTTTTACATGAATCGCGATGATAACAGTTCAAGTGTATTTTACCAAATCACGCAATAAACACGTTGATTTTTTTCTTGAGTAGCGTAAACTGTCAGATCATGAACTCCACTTTGACCATGTTATATCGGGGTGAAATTGATTTTGAAAGAATTTTATCTTTCAATCTAAAGACTGACACAGTCGGAGACACTATCGCAGAAAGTATTTACTTACAAACAAAGAGGTGCTAATTTCACAAAATTGACTAGCCGCTACGTATCGTGCGACTAGGTCTATTGTTTACAAATTATAATCCACGACTGACAGGATGTGTGTCGGTCGGTACATAATTATAATAACAATCGGACAATAGTCCCGGTCGGAAGCATTTCCGTTGTGGTCGCTAATTTTGAGTGTCGGTCGGGGCCGACCACCGCCGACCAGCGTGGCGAGATCCCTGACTATTATATGTGGTACTATTGCTGATCTACATACATGCGTAACCACTGAATTGATCGTAAAGACTTGTTTAAGTTGATACATGTACATTCTAAATGTGGTATATTAATTATTTATTTTGCTAACTTGTTAATAGTGATTGGCTCAAGGGCTAAAAATTGTCTACGCTCATAATGCGCACAGATGCCTTCTCATGACATAGCATTTGTAATCAATAATAGATATTTTTTTAAGTAATTGGAAGGTATCGGTAATTAGTGCAAGTTGCGCCCAGGTCAAACCTCATACTTAAATTTCAATGCATTGAAATATGGGAAAATCAATGTTTATCAACACAACATTAATTTGAATTCTAAAACTCATTCTGATTTATAAAAGAATATATTTATTAACGTTATGACCAGTCTTTCTGCCCTTCACTCTACCGGCACTTTCCATTTTATGAAGGTATGAATTTGTATAAATATTCATGACTGTTTTATAAAATTTGATTATTGGTTGAAAACCCAAATGCACACACAGTTGGAGGCGAAGAACCAATCACAAGACTGGTTACAAACCAGTTGAGCAAGGCTAACCGAGTCGTAACCTTGATGTGGTTCGTACCAATCTTATGATTAGTTGTTGACAAATGCTGAACAGGCCACGCCTCCAACTGTGCCGTGCGTTCGGGCCAACTGTTAATTGTTCATAAATGGAGTCAGTTTGTTTAGTTTTCTTGATTTATTCTGCAGATATAGGTAAAATATAGGCAAGGCTTCGGTGAAATTTGAAAGAGCAACTAATATTCTTCAACCTGGTATTTTTTATAGATTTTATTTTTCATTCTGTTCGTCTGTTTTCCAGTTTAAAAAATGTGAGCCGATACCCCACCCCCACCCTCCGCGCACTCATAGGGAGTGCGTACAGTTGATCATAGTTCCTGGGCTCCCTTTGATCTTTATTTTGAATATACCATTGAGCTAAATCACAGAGACTGAGGGTTAAATCATTGATCAATTATTCAGAAATCTTTTGACTGCAGAACCCTGATTCAGAGAACAATCTGTTCAACAAAAGCACCAAAATGGCGAAATATTCATAGAAACTTACAAAAATCAAAAATGTGATTTTGATGTTTATTTTTTTAAAATCGGGCCCAATGTGTACAGTCCTGCCACATCGTCAAAGTTTAGGGACTGTGGTCCTGTACCCGGCCAGTTTAATAACACAAACACTTGATCGATTATGACACAAACCTTAACCATGTATGGCAATAAACTTTGTGTCCCGTCACGGTGTACAGTCCTGTAGGTTGACCTCCTTCTGCTGATCATTAGGCCGAATGATCACCGGAAGGAGGCCAAGTGTACCAAGGCTAGTCACGGAGTGGAAGTGTATATAAATTTTGTCACACTCAACAATGGTCATGGCATCGCTGTTTATTTTCAGTCGATCGACATACATTACAGCCTAGAAATATATTTACTATACCTTTCCTCTTCGACTTCTTCTTCTTCTACTCGCTGTCGTTTTTTAAACATACTAACTATAATTTGACAGAAACCGCCAGTAGGTCAATAACACTGCTGCGGTAGAACTTATTTTTTTAAACTTGGTGCGTATAAGAATGCGCATGCGCGTCTGTTGTAGCGAACTCGTTTAGCGCCACCAACAAACAATTTGAATATTCTTAATATTCATTCGTTTTTAAGCCCCGCTTTTTAAACAAATATGTTCGCGCAGGCAATAAAGTTACCGACATTTACACCATATCACTTCTGCTTTTTTTATGAATCTAAACTGAGCCATTCCATAATATCTCATGTAAATTCCTCAAGGTAAAAGCCTACTCATGAATGAAAATACCCAAAATTTATTAATTTTACTGAATGGCAGCCATTTTGTCAACATCAGAATGCTTTCCTGTATGGAGATATTAAATTGTAGGTTGGTGACATAGGCTGAAAAAATATATGAAATATTTGGCCAGTTTTCTGGCATAACTGCAACACACAAAAGAAAAGTGTTTCATGTTAGCATGGAATAATGGCTCCATGGTCGAACAAAAATAAATCAAAGCACATTGTCATGTAATCCATGCCCAACTTTCACAAAAAATTATGAAAAACGAAGAACAACATGAAAGAAACAAACCATTTATTATAACAACAACAACAACAAGAGTAAATACAAGAATATTTAAAACTCTCAATAAATATATTATTCTTTAAAATAGTTTAATGTGTAAAAAGACATATGATAGAAAAATACACAGCAAGGTACTAAATACTACAGTAGTTGTAATCCATGCAAAAAACTATACTCCAATATACGAAAGGTATTCCAAACTGTGCAGCCATACCATTTTTCATCTTTCTTATTCTTTTAAAATGGTTCACCCCTAATCTTCAATGGCAATATGATCATTGTTCTATTAAGCAAGTCAATATTATAAATCATTAGCATCAATATTTTCATTTTACTATTTTTTTTTACTATCATCAACATAGTGGACTTTTGACAGTTTATTCATCCACAATTATTAAAACTGTCATTCAAAAGTTGAGGCAATGATGGATTATATCTGCTATTCAAATTTTGTTGGAAATAACTTATACTGCACGAATATGATTTAGTGTTGTGACGGTTGTATTGAGTGGTCACCACTTATCATTTCACAGAAAGATTATGAAAGCAATGACCATTGCACAAAACATGTAATAAACTTTAACTTGATTAAATAATCAATGTGAATAAAATAAGATGTTTGTGGGTATATTTACCGGTATGCATTTTTTTATTTCTTATACTTTATTCCATTTTATTACCTACCACACTAATTATTTTGCATTATTTTAACTTTCGCGATTAACAAAAATACAAGCAAATAAATAATAAAATAAAACAAAAGATAAAATAGAAGAATACATATTTAAAAAGATGAAAAAAAACAAGCACTCATTATATTTATTTCATACTCAATTCATTTTATAGTTGCACTGATAATGTTTTTTATATGTTAAATGAGACATGTTAAAAAATAGGCTTTCCTATTCATTGATTCATGTAAATGTAAATATGTTTTGAGTATACAACAGTTTTCAATGCTTGATATAGCTCAAGAAACAGTCCTGATTAAAAAAATTCATTTACTCAGAATTTGTATATAAATGTCATTATGTAAATTTTAAATATGCATCATCTCAGATGTAGCAGTAAATATAAATTGTGGAATTAAGTATTATTCAGGTCAACATACAGACAGACAGACAGACAGAGGACCATCATACGAAGACCATCAAAGGTGCATTTTAATGAACGCTCTCACTGTCATGTCTTCTATTTTGTCAACAGCTTCAAGTGCATGCTTTCCTTCGTCCTGATAATACTCTGTCAATTTTTCTGCATAGTCTATCCACACACAATTGTAGCAGCCGCTCATGCAGCAGTGTTGGGGTAATTCAGGGGGTGGTCCTCGTCCTGGAATTTCTTCAGCTGTTCCTTTTACTGTCGATATACAGTTGCTTCTTTCCGATTGTTCAGAAGAATGAGCAGGTACTTCTTGGACTTCTTGTTTAATATCATGTGACTCTGTTTTCATGATGACTTCTGATATTTGTTTATTTGGTTGCATTGTAGTATGATTAACAAAGGGAATTTCCACTGGTTTCTGAGAAGTCTGTAATCATAGAATGAATAAAATTAATGAAATAGGTGTGTCTTGCAGGCATGCATACTTACATACAACCCCCCCCCTACATGTAACACGACATAAATAATCATTTGCATTCTTTTAGTGACTGTCTGATTGCTCCATTGCTTTTCTGAAATTACCATATTTAACATTTGCATATCTATCGTATTTACTCTATTGAACGACATCTCAGATAGAAGAGCACATACACACAAAATTGCAGTTATAATAGAGTAAATATGGTATTGGATTATACCCCACACTGTAAAATACTTTATTTTCACTATTTTTGCTGAAGGAATGATTCAGTAAAAACAAAATTCTGCAATATACCTTTTTTTCTATATTTCACATTCTACTCATCAAAAATCAATGAAAATAAAATAAATACAAAACACCCAAAAAAATCTTTTTCAGCGGAAATTAATTCCAGCTAAAATAAAGTATTTTACAATAGGTAGCAATATAATCTAGTGATTTTCCAGTAAATTATTTGTCTCATTTTATGATCCATGCTTGGTTCTCATGAAGTGAATTAATTTAATATTAGCTAATAAATTTAGTTATGTAATATGAACTGTTAAATTTTTCCTTCTATAGAAAATTCATCATTTGTTAACACAGTGAGTGGGGCAGTCACCTTGAAAAACAAAAGTCTTCTGGAAACAGGAAGACAATTCAAACTTTTCTGCAACCAAGAGTTGTAGCAAAGTGGTAATACATACTTCAGAGCATACAAAAAAACAATAGTTGTCTTGTTAGTCTTGTTACTGCAGCACATATTCTTTACTATTATGTGATGTATGCATATTCTTTATAGTTCTGCTAAAAGTATATATTTGAATAAATATTTTCCCGTAATTATAAAATAACATATTAAATCTGTTTCAAGGTGTGAAATAACATTCGTAATGCTATTAGTGAAATCAGAGATCTAAAATACTATACTAAACCCCCTGATGGTTTCAGTAGTGCATAATACAGCTTTATCAATTACATTACATTACATTAAAATTGATTAAATTATACTAATTACCACTATTAATATAAAATCACTGAAACATCATGATCTGTATAGCAGACCCTCGAGTCTATTTTTGTACTAAAGAAGACTAGTAAATGTCATTGAAACTATTCCACGTCACGTATTCCGGTACTGTCGTGGTTTCGTGGCTTCCGGGCTTTGTACAGCATACCGGAGTACTCCGTTGTACTTTTTTTCCGTAATGATCCAGCAGAATGCCTCGATTTACAAAACAATACCGTGAACGCCACAAACACTGCCAGTCTCCCGCTGGATGGAAGTATTTTTGTAAGGTATCATAATCAAGGTCAACTCACCAACAGCCGCCTCACGTTGAGACAACAAAATAAAAGACGACCTTGGGACATGTTTTATCAGCATGTCTCCTAATTCTTTGGTAAAACTGTCACCAAATCGTAAGCAGGAATTCCGAGACGCGATTCAGACGAAAGAAAATAGAATATGCCTTCGAGTCCAACGAGATAAACATTCTGGTTGGGAATTTCCTCATTGACGTCATAAGCACATTGCGCAAGTCTGTCCACTTGTCAGTGAAATACCCGGATGTTGGGATACCCTATAACACTTCATTTGACCCGTGCAACACGTTGGATTGTTTGTATAGTATTTTGATATTAATTCATTGATATTTGTATCAAGCATAGCAGTTTGTGGATTTCGATTTATAAACTCAGGGTATCACACACAAACACAGGATGGGCAGACATAAAAGGATAAAGAAAATAGACCCGTTTTACCAGGGAAAGGGAAGGGAATCCACCACAGATGCCTCCAAGAAATCAGCAACTAGCAAAGGAAAACCAAGACCTAGGTACATATACAGTATGTTCGCGAAGCATTTGAGTACATTGATGTGTCTCAGTGCTTTGCACCACTCTTGGCATGTCATCTATTGATCGGGCAATTTGTGTATTCATATTTCTAACATGATCTATGGTTTTTTCGTGCAACAGACAAACGACACGCTTGTCTATTTGTAATTTATGTGTAATTTTATGTAAACATTCACACTTGTATTCATATGCTGATTAAAACTGATTATGTGGTAGTTGGGTTCATGTATACACTTTATATGCACTTATCCTTTCGCCTCAATACTATTGTGGTTTCACATAAATATATTCAAATCATGCTTTTAATGTCACATTAAATAATTACAGTTGCACTCTGAGATCATTCGTATAGCTTTATTGAGGTCTTAGAGCTTGTATACAATTTAATAGAATGAATATGCATGAGCAACTCTTTGTAAATCCATTTTTACCCATAAAGAGTAAGCATAGTAAATCCATGTGTACTGGAACACTAATTAAAAGCTTGGAAGCCCAAACTTATCACCAATATTTCTAAACAGTGAAATTTAATGTTTCATTTGACATGCACAAAACTATGAATCCCTAGCAAATAATTTATGAATATGTAATCACAAAAACAAACCCATTTTCCTTTTTATTTATAAAATTTTTAAAATTTCAATCGCAGTTGAATCCAACCAGTCAATCAATGACTTCATTTCCATATGTTCCAATTTTATTCCATTGGCCAATAGAAAAATTCCTTTAAAGGCCCAGGTATACTATAAATACGGTCCTAAACAATAGGGATTATTTCCTTGCTTGTCACGCTGTAGTAAACAGCTCCAGCCAAGCCCCGGTAATAGCGCGTTTTCTCGAACTTACAGGTCGATTATGTCATGCCAAAGTGGATGCATGCGACTATGAATATCACAGCAGTGACTGTGTGTAGTATTTATGAAAATAAATAGTGTATGAGCTGAGATTTTGGCGGATAAAAGTCAAAAACTTGAACTGGGGAAAGGGACACGCTACTAATCTTGAATAATTAACTACTGTCAATCAAAGTCACGTGATGTTGGACCGCTGAAACAGGATGAGTCATAGGCTATGCAAGTGATTAACAACACTCATTAGCATAGTCACACCTCCAATTCACACTTGCCTAGGGCAAGTGAATTGGGCCTTTAAGTTCAAGTTTGTATTGTGAAATTTATAAATATTTATAAAAATCATCAATGGATGTGACAATATGTGTAATATTGAACTTGAATGAATCCTGTTCTTAGGTTACGCAAACATGAACAAAAAGATGATTTACGACCAAAAAATATCAATGAACAGGAGAAGATGTCACAGAGGTTTAAACTATTTGCAGAATCAATAAAGGAAGCAAAAAAACACAAGTTATCTGAAGGAAAGAAGAAGCAAAGGAATAAATATAAAGGTATATTCAGTGATTATGAGGTTAATTTGGTTTATTATTTATTAACCTTCTCACCACCAGTTCCCTCTTTTCATCACAAATAGTTTCGTTTATAGTCTGCACTATCCATCAAAAGTTTGGGATGAAATAGCCAAACTTTTTCTAGTAAAAACTGAAAATTGACTCAAATTTTGTCTGTTGGCTCCAAAATTAGGGCTTATTTCCAGAAAAATTGAAGAATATAAAAAAATAGTGCAGAAAAATGAGGGCTGGAACGTCTGGTGTTAAAAAGGTTAAAGATTCTATATTTTTCTCATTCTATTTTTGCCACTATAATTTTATAAATAATTCAAATAAATAATTTCTTTTTGTTCATAATTATTTACAAAATATAAAATAAACCATTTCCAGCATTTCACATGGCCTTGTCATGTTCTACATTCTATTAAAATTAGGCATTGCAAAGAGATCATCTGTTTAATATTAATGAGTTTTAAATCGTAAGCCGATGACTTTAAATTTTCAAAGTTATGTTTACCTAAAAGGTTCATTCTTTTCTAAGCAAGATACTCAGCGCAGAAACTTGTCAATGTCATTGGCTGGGAAGTCAGAAATAAAAATATTTGTAAAATTGGCGTTAAACAAACTTGATTGTTTTGATAATGCAACCGGTAATCATAACAGGAATGTGTGTCACATGATTCCAAACATTCTTAACCCGCACCTTTATCTTGTTTTCAAACACCATTTCAGTTAGCACCCCCAATCAGAAATTGAAACCTGAAGATAGGGGAGAATCTGGCATGGAAGAAATCACTTTTACACCCAAATCATGGGAGAGTGAAGAAAGATTTATCCGGAGAATGGACAAAGAAACGTATGAGGTATTTGATGGTGTTAAAATGGTGGAAAAACTTGAACAAGGCATGGAAACAGTACCAGAGCTACAAGAATCAACTAAAGATAAGAGGGATAAAAAGAAAGAGTAAGTAATTTCACTGGAGTACGTTATGATGTATATTTTGACATAAATGCTATCACAGAGCTTTTTTCTTTCTAAGGCTTTTAAATTGCGTAAATTTTAACAAAAGTACTACTAAAGTTTTACTAAAACAACTTCTACTACTGTAGCTACTATCAACAACACAAACCCATTCCCTTAATTTTTATAAATAATTAGAACTTTCAATGACAGTTGAATCCAACCAGCCATTCATCAAGCTCAATGCATACTGATGTCCAAATATGTTCCAACGTTCTTCCAGTGGCCGAGAGAAACCTGTCGTTTCAGTTTGAATAGATGACTTTCTATTCACTGCGCAATCTCGCATATTGCGTGATTAGAAACAGAAAAAAAATATTTCCACATTCTACCATGTGTGGCACACTTTAACAGTATGCAAAATTGCAAGTTTCAAACTGAAAGCAAACAAAAGAAAACCTATTTTGGTTTTGCTGAAGTGTGTCTATATACATTTAATGCAATATATACTTCTAAATGTACAAACCTCATAACATAACACTCATGATAATAAGTGACATGTGAACAATTCTGAACATTTTGTTTTCTATAAATTCTTTCAGTGCCGAAGTCAGCTGCTTTAATATTGTGCCAGACACAAGTTCTCAAATCAGTGACTGTGTGAAAATTTTCTCTGGAGTTCTACAAGATGAAGTGTCAATGACTTTTGCTAATTTGGTTTTATGAGTGCCATAAAATCATAAAATTCCTCAAAATTCAGTGAAATTTAAATGGTTTACACTAGTATTGTCAAATATTTGATTTTTGCCTGGAATCTATTTTCACTAAAGGGATAATTCAGTGAAAATAAAATCCAGCAAATATATCTTTTTTTCCCCATGTTTTACATTAAACTCATCAAAAATCATGGAAAATAAACTTCATACATAACAAACACAGCAAAAATTGATTCCACCTAAAATAAGTATTTAACATTATGATGCACATGTTGACCCAGGTGTCTTTGTTTATTCCCACTATGTCATGTTTATTTGTGTTTTTTTTCATTCCCATCAGGAGACTAGTAAGAAAGAAAGAAAAAGTTAAAGCCAAGAAAATGAAAAAAGTACATGATGCCTTGGAAAAGGAAGTATACATAGGTCAGAATCTTGCCCAAATTTGTCTACACTTTTTTCTTGTATTCTCCAATATTTATGGAAATGAACACTAATTTTGAAGCCAACAGACAAAATTTGAGACAGTTTTCAGTTTTTACTCAAAAAATGTGGCTATTTTTTGTCTAAATCTTCTGAAAGTACAGACTATAAACTGGACTATTTCATGAATTTGTGATGAAAAGAGGGAACTGGTGGTGAAATAATTATTAAATAGATCTACATTTTGTTTGACTTAACACATTGTATGCTGACTGTTTTTTTTCCACTAATTGTGGTATGTCTATGGTCGTTTTCAGCTGGCAATGTGCTGAGCATTTTTCTAAACTAACACTTGAATTCATTCATGACAATATTCAATATTTTTATATGATATATTTTATATAATTATGAATAAGCATGAATTTTGGAAAATATTTTAGGAGTTGCAATTACTGCGACATGCAAATCTTTGTGAATCTGTGCATGTTGGAAAAATATTTTTAAAAAAGCATTTAGGAAAATGAAATTTAAACCAGAAGGATTGCAAACATTCATGCGCACTGAAAATCAATCAAAATTATATTTTTTGCAATTCACGCCAATTTAGATAATCAAATACTTGATATACCATATTTGTCCTATTAGTACCAGTAATGTGGTATGTCTATGGCCATAAAATGGAGAATTGTAGTTGAATGTAATCAGCCAATTAATGAGCACATTGCATAATGATGTCATTTGAAAATGTTCTAATGTTGTTCCATCAGCTAAATACACCTCTCATTTCAGTTTGAATTGAAAAATATATAAAAATGCAAAGTATGACTGGTTGTTTCTCTACTCCACTGCAGATAGAGTTAAATTTGGTGAGGTTGTTATGGAGCCACCGAACATCAGAGCAAAACCCAGGAAAGCCAGCGGTATTACCAAGGTGAGAAATCTAAATTTATTTTATATATGTCAAATAAAAAGTGGTAGTCATAAAAAGCCGTTTATAGTTTGTTTGTGTTTTGATCATGGCATACAAGTTGCGTTCACACACAGCTCTTTAGCACAGGCTAACTAAGAGGTCAAACACATTAGCCTGTACAAATAGCTTGTACAAGGTACCGGTAAATCTGACCAATTTTTAAAGTTGCATTCCAATTTTGCAAATTTGTGAAGTTTCATCTCCTGACCAATATATGCACTGCCAAATGTTGAGATTGTGGATGAGCTAATAATTCATCAAAATAAGCCATCCATTAATCTGGTTCTGTATAGACAGATTTCGTTCAAACTTGGTACAAATATCATTACGAAACCTTGATGCACGTCATTTTGTTTTTTTAGATCAGATTCAAAATGCCTGACTGGTGGCCATTTTGTTTTAATGAATGCAGAAATGGAGCTCCATCTCTGAAATGCTCTGACCCTTTATGTTCAAATTGTATATATTTCTTGAACTTGATAAGATAACTATATCTTCCCCCATTCATTCTGCAAACTCCTGAATATTTGTAGACTGAAGCGCAAGATTTTGCCAAATCTGCAATACCCACCCCATTCGGCCATCTTGAGATTGGATCAAGATGCATATTTGTCTTAAGTTGCATGATGTATGAGTGAAGTTTGAAAGTAATCAGCCCAGGCATGATAAAGGTGACGCACAAACACGCACACAGAGGTCAATTGAAACATAAGCCCTCATTTTCAGACTTTGAACAGGGACCATTTACAATAGAGGACAACCAAAATTTATTGAAATTTGTCATGTCAAAGAAAGCTATTAAAGTTCAAAATCAAATACACCTTCAGCTCATTTGCATAATTCAAAATATGTATGAGGAAATGCTGGAATGAATGTCATGCATAATTATTTATTGACCCTGAATATATGCAAATTTTCTTCAGTGAGATCTTCATCACTCACTGGCATTTGCTAGCCCTTAATTATCTACCCTTGCATATGTAGTGATTTATTTGAACTCGCATCTATATTGTTATTTTTGTTTCTATTGTAGCCAAGACAGAAAATGCTATTACTGAATAAAATTCTCGAAAAATCATCAAAGCCAGTCGTTAAAACACAGAAGAAAACATCAAATAGAACAAAAGCAAGCAAGAAGAGGAAACACATGTCTGTGGCGGAAAAGAGAATATTTGATAAAAGCCAGGCATCAGCCATACAAGCATACAGGGATGTCAAAAAAGCCAAAAGAACTCAAAATACATAAAGAAAATTGATTCGACTTGTTTCTATTACACAAATGTAAATGACTTCATCTACAAGACTCACCACAAAGTGTGCCCTCAGTGTAGGAAAGCAGTTAAGACCTTGGATTAATATACTTACAAAAAAGAAATGTAACATTTTTCTTTACGGTTTTAATAATTTATAAAAGCTCTTGTATTTTCTTACATTTTTGTGATACAATTTGTCTCACAAAAGTAAAAAACCTGGGAATATATCATTTTATATTTTAACATTTTTGATCAGAACAAATATGTTACAATGTTCTTTCTTGAATAATTAAATTGATTATACAAACCTTGAGCAGATAACAATTTATCATCTTATTTGTAAACTTTGTGATTGGCTAAAATCTAGTCATGTGATTTCATTATAAGGTTCACCATCAATAACTGGTTATGTAAAATCTGCATTAACGTGTGCCTTCTGTTAAATTGATACAATGCAATAACAGTAGGGACAACACTGCACATACGAGAAAAGATAAATTTTTGATTCTGGATCAATCGTTCAAAAAGAATTTAAAATATAGAAAACTATAAATCCGGTTTAAGAAAAACATAGATCAAAAGTGAAAGCATGTCCAAGTTATCACATTTTAAACAAACAAGATGGCCGCTAGTTGGCCACATTTGATCAAATTGCAAATTGAATTGACATGTACAAGTATCCATTTATGACATGCTAAATATCAATAAATATGATACATGGGTGACAGAGATATAGTAATATGGCCAAAAATAAAAACAGCCTTTATTCAGCCATCTTTGATCTGATTATGGAACAAACTGACATGTATGATGTATGTGCCAAATACAAATGATACATAAATCTTGGAAATATAGTAGTTAGGCAGCAAAAAAGTCAGATGGCTGTCAATCGACCATCCTTGATCCGATTTTGAAACAAATTGTCCTGGACATGTATCCTAACATGTATAAAGTATGTGCCAAATTTGAATGAAAACTGACAAAACATGTAAAAAATACGACATTTTCAAAAAACAAGATGGCTGCCAGTCGGCCATTTTGAATCCAATCGTTAAACCACTACATGTGCATATGTCCCACATAAAGTACTAGGCACATGCAAAGAATGAACAGAATCAGTCCAAAGAATTCTGAAATATGACTGGACGGACCGATGCACTCACGGACAGTCGGGAACATGTATCATAACATGTATAATCTATGTACCAAATTTGAATGAAAACTGACAAAGCATGTCCAAAATACAACATTTTCCAAAAACAAGATAGCCATCTTGTTTTTTGAAAATGTTGTATTTTGGACATGCTTTGGCTGCCAGTTAGCCATTTTGAATCGCATCGCTAAACCACTGCATGTGCATACCGGTATGTCCCACATAAAGTACAAGGCACATGCAAAGAATGAACAGAATCTGTCCGAAGGATGCGGAGATATGACTCCGAACAGACGGACCAATGCACGGGCGGAGACAGAGTTATAAGTCCCCGTTTTCGTACTTTGTCCGAACGGGAACTACAGATAATAAAACTACAAGACAAAATTATTATAGAGCAATGTTGTGCTTTCTTCATTCATTTATTTACCAAATTATCCATGAAAATTTCTTGTACAATACCTCCATAATAGTAAAAAAGTATTTTATAATACATACTCATAATTTTCAGTAAACGAGTTCAAACCCCACTACATAATCTTGTAAAATTAAACCTGCTATTATTTACACAATCTTTAAAAAAAAATATCACACAAATAAATCAATTGGTGGGATGTCAATTGTGATGTACTTAGAGAGGGAGGTGGTGGTATTCTGAGCTAGGTTGATAGTTCTGAATGTAATATTTCATCATATTATAAGTCATCGTTTACTTTGCCCATGAGCTTGAAGGTGAGAAGTCTCAGTAAAACAAAGAAATAAACATAAATGCACATTTCATGCACATGTAAATCACATGCACAGATTGTGTCTGTTATAACTGGAACAATATCTCACTTCAATCCTTGATAGCAAGTTTACCTAACCCAACCCCCCCAAATCAACTATTGTCAGTTTAGCTGTTAAATGCAAGGATATCATGGCAACAACTTTCAAAGATGACAAATAAAAATAATGAAAGAGACTGCTACATAGCTTTTAAAATGGTTTTAAAGATGATTAGCCAATGGCAAATAAAGATTGTATACATGTAAAACCCTAGAATGAACCATTGTTTCATATACCGTACATATTTAAAAATGCTTATATCTTTAAAATGATCTTTCCACAAAGATTACCATAATTGCCATTTCGAAGTAATAGCGAGATTAAAAGGCAAAGAAAAAAATGACGTATACCCTGGAAATACTTTTCCCAAGTAAATGTTCTTAAATACGGTACAGATCAACAACCCTGTTTTTGAGAAAAGTCCATTCTTATTCGACTTGGATCAGAGAGTTAAAATATTGTTTTGATAAAAAAAAAATTATAAAAAAAAATCCATTTAAAATAGTGAAAAAGATTTGATTCAGTTCGAAATAAAAAGATCAATATTTTTTTTTTGAATATTTTTTTCAAATATTGTGAACTGAAAGATTCATATTTTAATTTGCAAATGGGGTGGTAACAATGACAAATGGGATGATTAAAAAGTAGCAACACCTGGCTTTATCTCCAATGGACCTGGAGACAAACAGTGTCTACGGTAGTGGCGTAAAAACATTGCATGGGATTTCACAAGTGCGAAATTACTTTTAGAGTATTTCCACACTTAATATTATGCTATAAACATATGATAATGGTCAATTTTGATGCAGTAAAGGTAACTCAATGCCATACTCCTCTTTGAAAAATAGGCATTTCACCATTAACTTTAAAAGTTCAAAATCAAGTTATCCCATTTTAACGGTCTGCATCTTTCACAAATTATGCGAGATCTCGCAGTGAGCGGAAAATGACCTATTATGTATTTTGCAACATTAAGATTTACAACATCATTTTATGTATTTAAGTATTTCCACACTTAATATTATGCTATAAACATATGATAATGGTCAATTTTGATGCAGTAAAGGTAACTCAATGCCATACTCCTCTTTGAAAAATAGGCATTTCACCATTAACTTTAAAAGTTCAAAATCAAGTTATCCCATTTTAACGGTCTGCATCTTTCACAAATTATGCGAGATCTCGCAGTGAGCGGAAAATGACCTATTATGTATTTTGCAACATTAAGATTTACAACATCATTTTATGTTTGAATTGTTAATAAACACAATGGAAATTTGATATGCCAATTATATATATTGGATGGAAATTACTATTAATATGGTCACATTCAGAGTGAGCCATCCGTATGTTTCTGATCTGATGAGTTCATGACATAAGTCGAAGACTGCTTCGCCAGTACCCTCTCATAAAACAGACAGCTCATCTTGTGTTGTAAATTGCAGTATGTTGTTATAAAAAGTTACAAAGACGTTGTATTCTCCAGAATCATTTCAAGAAACTAGAAACAAGAAATAGAAACAAACATTATGCTCATGTAAACACAAAACAATTTTTTATGAGGATTGCAAACCCTTATTTATTATCCACCCTTGATACAGTACAACTTTATTAACATATTTGTTCTTAGTAGTGCATAAATGACAAATGGTAAATAGTTTATTAGTGATTCCACATACAATATCATATTTACTAGTAGTATACAGTGGCTATACTCTGAGCCAAATCACAGCCACAAGAACACTGAATGAATGCAACTTCTGTTTCACATGCGTTTCTATTGGAGATGTGTTACTAATAGAGCAGATGCCATAAATACAATTTTTGATGTACCGGTATGTGTACTTCTGTCGGAAACGTGCTTCTAATGTAGCAAAAACCATATTTCTAAGAGCATCCTATCTATTCGCATATTTTTTTTTTTATAATAATTATAACAGTCAATGGATGAGTATACATACCTGTTCATAGGTGACTGTAATCCAACCAGATTGCTGGGTGTCCTTGACTCTAAATGCTTCCGTCAATGATTTCAACATTACACAACACTGTATAAAATCATCAAAATTTATTGTACTGCTACTGGCTCGGTCAAACTTTGTAACGATCAGTCTACAAAAGTCCATTGACCTGAAAAGCAAAGTTGACAACAAACATTTTTTTGATATTTGTTTACAAAAGTTCATTGACCTGAAAGGCAAAGTTGACAAGACACATTTTTTTGATATTTGTTTACAAAAGTTCATTGACCTGAAAGGCAAAGTGGACAAGAGACATTTTTTTGATATTTGTTTACAAAAGTTCATTGACCTGACATGCAAAGGTGACATATTTTTTGAATATTTATGTGAACATGTATAATTTAATACAAAACATTATCAATGATATCATTACTTTTGTTTTTTTGAATGCCATATTTTTCCCGCCATAATTTAAATGCAACACAAGTTTCGCCAGTTTTTCTTATAATTTTTCCTAATTTTGGTTCATAATACACAATTTTCCAATGCCTACCATTTTTGATCAAAATTTGTGAAAGATTTGAAACAAAAGTATAAAGTCCTGATTGAAAACAAATGTTTGCATTTAACTGTTCTGTTTATTGAATTGATTAAATTAAAATATATACTTACAATGTATACCCAAATGTTCTGAAAGCATTGTTGAGTTCATTGGCGTCAATATTACCAGACCTATCCAAATCAAACCTGAAATATACAACATTCATGTCAAGTATAAAATAACAGCAATGGTTAACACACAGCAATATTACCATAAAGTAAAACACAATAAAAAAATTACAAATATGGCAATGGAAATATGACATATAATGGGTTGGTTAACATTGTAACTCAAGAATCTATTATTTTGTTAATATTCCACAAGATTCTATTTATTTTTTCATTTAATTTGATTTAAGACAGTCACAATGAAAGTTAACAATTATAATTTTATAATACATGTACCTGGCTATTATTGAAATGCTTCATTCTCATTGGTAGATCAGTATCACATGCAGCTCCCCACCGCCTCCCCAATCAGACAATAAAGTGTTTGATGTCAATGCATGTACAGTAACATCCAACAAACCAATCATTATACTTGCTCTATATACGTGTTGTAACATGTTGTCATTTACTCATGAACTTTGTATGTGTAACTGAAGTGCAAGTATCCTTGACACGCTAACAAGATGTCGATTTCTTTTCTCTTGATAGTATCATATATATACCGTGAAATCTGTATTAGAAGCCGTTTCTCATATGTTTAGATGCTCTAATAAAAACAGCATCCCCTCTGTTGCATTGTACCGTTATAATAACAACACTACTTCTTATACAGATTTTACGGTACTACATGTGATCTCAATGATAATTGATGACGTACTTATCAAAACATTCTTTCCATTGCTGTATATATTTCCATAAAGCAGCAAATTCATGAATATCAATAGTACCATCTCTGAAATTAAACAAAGTAGGAAGAATGAATAAATTCGAAATGTTGATATTTGCTTTATTATGGTGATGCACAAATCTTACCATCATTACCGGTATCCTCTATTTATATAGATAACTGTTTTACCAGAAGCATGCGCTTCTAATAGAGAAAATACATGTACAGTATTTAAAAATAAACATGTTCTTTGCCTCATGACGGAGAGCTGTGTTCAATTCATTTGTCAAAGGGTATAGAAGAAACTGGAAAAAACACCACTGTGTATTCTGAAGAATTTTTGCAACTGCATGTCTGTTTGTAGCCTTTGGTACATGAAGTACTGTAAAATGCATTATTTTTGATCAGAATTTATTTTTCCCTGAAGCGGTGATTCACTAAAAATATAAAATCCAGCAAAAATACTGTTTTTCCTATATATTTTATGTGCAATTCATCAAAAAAAAAAAAAAACTCCATACAAAAAGTCATTTCAGTGAAAATGTATTATACTACGCATACTACGAGCAATTATACTGTAGAATACTTTATTTTAGCTGAAATTAATTTTCATTGAAAAGACATTTTGGGTATTTAGTATCTTGCCGTTTTTTTCTAGAAAAACCCCTGTGCAGGTATAGACTCCATTTTTTTTTAATTTTTATATTTGTTTTTTATGAATATTCTTCTGTTTTACTTTTAAGTTTTTTATATAACCAGAGGTACATTACTTGGGGTTTCAAACTACGGTGACATGATACCAAGATCCCGTTACAATCTCGCTCTCGCATAAGCGTTCCAACTCAGAAAAATGCGAATGCGCATGCCCGAGGTAACTAGGATACTGGGATGTCCAGGTGGATCAAAATAGCTGCCCACGATATGACGGATTACGAGAACTATATTTTCTGTACATTTTCGATGTATTACATTTTTCACTACGATAGTGGCAAGAAAAGTTTATTTTTTCATTACAAACCTTGAACATTGATATATATCATGTCAGAAGGTCGTAGCCTCAGTCTCGCTATCTATGAGATGAGACTTCAATGGGATCTTGACATGATATTATACAGTACTATGCGAGTTGCAAACCCCAAGTAATGTACCTCTTATATGCCGTATCTTACCTGGGGTATTAGTTTTTAGGGTGACCGTGATATGATACAAAAACAGTAACAGCAAGTAAAACAAACAAAAATAGACGTAAAAAATAAAAAAAATATAAAAATATAAAAACACCAAAAAATAAAAATTGGAGCCTATATCAACATTTGATTTTAATCAGATCGACACAGGATCAACTCCTCATTCAATATATTCCACTGTGGAAGCTAAGAAAAGAAAAAAGTTACTAACTTATTTTTGTCAAACATGCCAATCATTAATCTACATGTCTCTGGATTGAACGGTGACCAGTTACCGTTTAGTAACGCTAGTCGTAGCTCATCTGAAGTTATTCTACCATTTTTATCTTGATCTACAACCTGGAAAAAATAAGATAAGTATTTCACAGAAATGATAAAATGAAACAGTAATTTATCTCTCTACGTTACCATGCAGAAGTATGAATTAATGACTGTTTTTAGCTAAAAATCATGTCTAGCCCTAAGCTAGATCTGAATTAAATCTGCCAAAAACTAACAGTCGCTTTTTGGGTAATGTTGGTTACTTAGCCAGTTTCTAAGATTTGTGGTAAATATATTTCAGATTCTGCCAGTTCATGTGAGCTATTGTAACAAACTGACAACCTTTTCACAAACAGTTCCTTTTTTTCATCACAAATTCACAATATAGTCTGCACTTTCCTCCAGAAAACTGGGACAAAAACAGCATAACTTTTTTGAGTAAAACCTGAAAAATGACTCAAATTTGGTCTGTTGGCCTCAAAATTAGGGTTCATTTTCAGAAATAATGAAAAATGTAAGAAAAACATGGACGAGAAAGCCTGGTGGTAAAACAGAATTGTAAAATACTGTAAAATACTTTATTTTCGCTTGGAATTAATTTTTTGCTATTTTCGCTGAAGGAGTGATTCAGTGAAAATAAAATCCAGCTAATATACCTTTTTTCCTATATTTTACATTCAACTCACCAAAAATCAGTGAAAATAAATTCCATACAAAATACCCAAAAAGTATTTTCAGCGAAAATTAATTCCAGTGAAAATAAATTATTTCACAGTACACTATTTTAGCAGAAATAACTTTTTCGTTTAAAAGACATATTGGAAGTTTTGTATGAAGTTTATTTTCACTGATCTTTGATGAGTTGAATGTAAAATATAGAAAAATAGATATTTTCACTGGATTTTTTTTATCATTGATTCATCCCTTCAGCAAAAATTGTGAATATAAACTCCCAGTGAATATAAATTACATTATAGTATTTCAGACATTGCATTAACCCAAAATGTTGCTTCTTAGACACCAAATACTGAAGAAGGGTCGGCATCTTAGTACAAGCAAAGGACACCATGTACACCACAGAAAAGTACAACTAAAAACAATCAAATATTCATTTAATATTCTCTTACCTGAAACATGGACCACAACGATGGATCTACACCTGGAGGAGGCTGAGGTGCCCCTCCAAAACCACCACCACCACTAAATCCTGAACCTGGAGGATACCCTCCATATCCTTGTTGAGGGGGAGGGGCACCATAACCCTGAGGTGCACCATATGCTTGTTGTGGGGGTGCGGCACCACCGTAGGCTTGATGTGCAGGTGCACCATATCCTTGCTGAGCAGGTGGTCTATACTGAGGTGGTGGGGCTCCATACGCCTGTTGAGGTGCACCACCATATTGTTGCTGAGAAGGAGCTGCTCCATAACCCTGTTGCTGGTATCCACCACCTGGCGGAACAGCACCCTGATTTCAAAAACAAGTCTCTGTGTTAATTATCATGTTTAAATGTATATTTTTATCACATAAGTTAACACACCACCTGCTGAAATACTCAACTGACAGCAAAAATAAACGAGGGGGGGAAAAAAAAAAAATCATCACCGCCATCAGAACTCCATGTGAGAATAGGATGGCTTACACAACAACAAATATTTGCATATTGATGATGGCCAGTTTTAGAGATCGGGGTAATAGCCAGATGCACATTTACAAGCAAGCTAATCAATTCAAACAATGGTCAAAAATTATGTGTTATGCTTTGTCATACTGTAAAATACTTTATTTTCGCTTGGAATTAATTTTCACTATTTTCGCTGAAGGAATGATTCAGTGAAAATAAAATCCAGCGAATATACCTTTTTGTTTTCCAGCTAAAATAAAGTATTTACAGTAGTTAAATACCGGTAGTTGTGTAATGATAAAATACTATAGTTACACACGTTCGACTGTGTAAGCAATGTTAATGTTTTGAACTGCATATACCATAGTGAGTTGTGTGCAAAAATGTACGTTATAAAAGACCAACCAGAGGAGAGAAAAACAGTAACAGAAAATTTTGGACAACCGTCCCGCTTTAACAGATACATGTAGTTCATCACAGCAGATGGATATGCTTTTCCAATCATCAATTTTCCTAACAACTGTCTCACTTATTCGTTTTATCAAGTCGATTAAAAATTATGGGGCACTGAACTTGTTTCCATAGAAGGTATACCTTTAGTGTAGAGGCTAAAATTGACAACCATTCTATTCTGAAACAAATCAGGCCTGTCTAGATTGATAGAAAAAGGACAAAATCATGATGAACCAGTAAAAATAATAATAATAAGCAAAATAATGAAGAAAATGATAATCAGTTTGGTTTCAGGAAAAACAACCAAACAGACAATATTTTCATTTTGAGAACTCTTATTTCAAAATTATTAATATGTCCAGAGTAAGGTAATTAATTGTGTAATTTGATACAGTTTTGTTCAATTTTGCAACCTGTGTAACGACAACAAGATTAGGAATGAAACTCATTACATTTTTTACTGTAATCACTAAAGCTTATTTAGCACAGTTTGTTTTAATATTTTACAATTGTTATAGTTTGTTTGTTTGTTTGTTTGTTTGGATACTGTAGTATTTGTTGGTCAACCTGTATTGTGTACATTCCAAATAACTTTACTGACATGATGTGTTTACACATTGACAATGCCAGATAGCATTTAAATTGTCCCATTACAGAATTAAGATTGCTTGCTGGTACTCCACTAATGAATACAAAAAAACTCACTTTAAAAGGAAAATTAACTTACTAATCTGGTTTTTAATTTCAATGTATGTATTAATCTCATATACTGTTCAACTCTAATCTACAAATCACTAATCACTTTTAATTAAATTAAAATATTTTTGCATAAAATAATTTAATTATTGGTGACATATACATGTTAGAGTATAGATTTATGAGCATACTGTATAGTACTTTATTTTGTCTAGAATTAATTTTTGCTGAAAAGACTTTTTGAATTCAGACTTAGTCAGTTCATTGAGACATGGTTTTAATTTCTGAGGTCAAAACATTAATTCCAAAACTTTAATTTCATTAGTCAAAACATTTGATTCTCAAGAAAAAGCATTAAATTCAGACAAAATAAAATCTTTCTCAGACAAAACATTAAACAACATTTAAAATCTTGGGATGGACAACATTCTCAGAACAAAACTTTAGTTTCCCTCACATTCAGTCACGATTAGCATATAATAACATATTTGCATTAGTAACATTACTGGAAAATTCCATAGTGATTTATTAATAGAATATTATTAATTAATTACTGTGACCCATGATGAGAAAATCTATGCTGTTGTAGATATCCAGATGTATTTCAGATGTATTTTTATGAGGTATCAACATTATTACATATAGATCTGTGCACTATTACACAGAAAGATATTGTATTGTTACAGAATTCTGCACTACAGAAATCTTCATATGATTACATAGAGAATATTATATACATTATGTGTATAGGGGTGATGAATAGTGGAACATCACATTCAAGTTACCGGTAGATCATTTTTGCATTAGCTAACCATTTACGCAACAGAATTTAGTATTATTCTGTATTATTTCAGTTGTGATCCCAGCATAAGCATACAAAAAATGGTTTTGCCATTTTGGACAATGGTTTGGACAAGTTAGCAAAAAGCTTGAGTCGATACAGTCAACAATTAGACACTACACAGTGGCACTGTTTCTGGATCCATGCAGACCACTTCTTTAGTCGTATCAGTAATGCACCACCAAGTGATTAATTTAGTTATACTTTCACAATTTTGTGAGAATAGAAAGCATAATTTAGTTTTGCACATGATTTCTAATGATTGTATATGCGGGTAATATACAAATTCTTCTTGAATAAATTTAACACATTTTCACACATACACTTTACCAGTTTGAGAAAAAAAACATTTTCAAGCAGAGAGCTAACTAAAAATATATAGCATGTAGGTAGTCAAATGCCGTCTTCACTGTGGAATATAGGTTTGTATATAAGCACCCATCATGGGCCATGAACTTTGTGATCATCCTTAAGTTTCTATTCCTATAGATATATAATGCAATAAAAGGTGGGGTCAGGAAAAAATGTTACAACACAACTGATTGTTTTGAATTATATCCTAATTGATTAAAAAGTATCATTTGAACATGGACTTATGCATATGTATGTTGAAAATACTGTAAAATGCATTATTTTAGCTGGAAATAATTTTCGCTGAAAAGACTTTTGGGTGTTATGTATGGAATTTATTTTCACTGATTTTTGATGAGTTGAAAGTGAAATATAGGAAAAAAAGGTTAATTTTTTCAGCGAAAATAAATTCCAAACGGAAATAAAGTATTCTACAGTAGTTGTGAATCTTGTTTTGATCCCACTGTCACTTACTGAATGAGAGACACGGTTGTCATGTTCTTTACTGGATGAGTATCTTTCAAAATCATTATTTTCGTAATCACATTCATGTAATTTTTCAATAAATAACTTATGTTAAAGTAAGAATCTGTGTTGTTGTTACATGTTCTGGTGTATCAAATGGTTTCACCTTTAATCAACCTTTTGTATGGGGATGCAAGATGGCAAGATTTGCAGTTCTGAAAAACTAAGTTTTCTGCTACAAATTTAATGTTTTGTCCTTAGAAATTAAAGTTTTCCCCAGGGGATTTAACGTTTTATGAAAATTTATTACAAATTTAATATTCTGTCCTTCAAAATTAACATTTGTCCTAATAATTACGTGTTTTGTTCACAAAATTATTTTTTTTATAACATAATTGGTCAATGCCACCCCTATTTTCATCTCGCTAAATTAAAGAAAAATCTGTTCTTTACTATTGTCATAACATGGATGTACATGGTCATAACAAGTAGTAACTTGTGATGACCTTGAAACCACCTGTCAAACGACAATGTTGATGAGATCATTTTACCTCCATGATGAGATACGGTAATGCAAACAGCTATAAACTACTTATAGACCACAAGAAGACATCGCTGAGTGGGAAAATAACCACTAAAAAGTTTCCAAATCATTACATGGCCATAAAATAAGACCTTCACATCACCCGCCTATCTATTGTTACACTTGGACGGTGAAGTTCATTTCGTGGTGTTCCTACTGCAGACACCAACACTATGTTCTGGCCTTGAAATCCAGTCTGTAGATATTCATGGCTAATGATCGTAAGGAGATTAGTATGTACATGTACAGTCGTACATGAATGGGATTGCTAGACTATTGTAACAACGGATCAAACAAACAATACTATGTAGCGTCATGCATAAATCAGAAAATCATAGATTGATCAAACGGAAAACAATGATGAACTGGGCCCGTAACTGGAACTATTATAAAGCGATCTTTACCTGATACTGGGGATTATAAGACGGATTACTACCTCCCCACGACATGATCAACTTGTAAATAACATAAATATCGTCCAATGGTCAGTAAATAACGACCACACTTCGTCAGCGACAACCTTGTGGCAACAACGCGAATCGCTTCCGGGTTTCTGAAACCAAGTTGGGCAAGTTGTACCCGGTCACGTGACCAAGAGTTTGCGTCAAAGCTTATAAATAAAGTGAAGTTAACGGCAAATTTAAAATCTTCACAAATTATAATTTTTAAAAAAAAAATTAAAACGAGCGGCTCTGTTATAAACCCACTGATATAAACCCATAGGGGTACTATTTATTTCACACAAAGTCTCGCGATAGCTTGCAAGTCTGGGTGAATTCTGTGTCATCGATTCTGCGCAGTTGGCGTAACCTTCTGCAACGGCCAGTGCATTCAAAACAATACGTTCAGCATCTCATTTCAACAGCCGAGAAAGCAGAGACGTTTTATTGGCGTCCAGTCACCATAGTTGCACCGTATACTGATCGGACTGTGAGACAGTCTTCGCCAGGACTAAACTTCATCGTTTTAGCGTATCGACGCTTTTTTGCAACAGGTAATGTCATTTTTGTTTCATCGTAAAAATGTAATCAGCTGATTCAACGATCAACCGCCCATTTCGGTAACCGAACTTCGATGCCAAGTTTGTGAACTCTGAAGTGTATACAAGATTTACAGAGTAAAACCGACAATCCGTTATATGCGATTTTGTCAAATATTCTTTCCAGTATCTCGTTTATTGTTTGCATAACATATTCTCAGTTATATAATATTCAGTTCCAGTTTCTTTTGGAGGGAATACTGCTACTTCCGGGTTGTAGGCCGCCTAAAACTTGTTTGGCAATAGTCCAAATTCTGTTAAAAGTACTATGCTTGTTCATGCAGTCGTAGTAACGTTCACAAATTCCATTGAAGCGGAGTGCCACTACACCGCCTATTGTTTTGCAATCGTTGACCACAGTGTATTAAACTACTATCTCTGCCAATCATTATATTTAATAAAGTTAAATACCTTTTCTGTGTTTTTTGTTTGTTTTTTATTTCTAAATGAAAATAATCACTTGGAATCAATTATTTAAGAAATTTGGGTTAGCACTATACCTTAGTGAAACATCTTTTTCCCCCATATTTTACATTCAACTTATCAAAAATCGCTGAAAGTAAACAAAGCACCCACAAAAATCTTTTCGACAAAAATTAATTCCAGCAAAAATAAAGTATTTTACAGTATATACTTGGTTTGCTGTATTTTTTTTTAACCGTTAAATCAAGAGTACCGGTAATGGAGTTTAATTGTTTTTTGTGGATCGATTGTGATAAATGGCTTCCCTTCACTCCCATGACAAGCAGAATAACCTTACAGAAATACAGTGAGCTACCTAACAAAGTTGTAGATCTACAAAAAGAAACTGTAGCTACTAAACACTCTTCTTACAGCAAAATGATATGAACACCAATATCTCCAAACTTCTGTGGTTAAAAGGAGAACACCAACTTTTCCATTTAAAAACTTGTTTTCTGCTGAAATAAGATATTGAGTATAATTAATGTTGTAATATAATGTTGTGTTCCACCTTGTTTATATTGTTGTTTTCATTTCGTAGAATTGTAGTGGCAAGTGGCATAGTGTAAAACATAGTGTAAAACTGGGATAGAAGCTATATCAATCACAGTGGTGTGCTACCATTTCTTTACTACCTGTTGTATGATGTATTTGTTTTGACAATATTGACAAGTACTGGCATTTAGTTCCATTTAAAATGTACCATCATCCTGTGTAGTTTCTTTGTGACTCAACTTCATGAGAAATTGTTTTTAAACTTGTAATCAAGTTTATATACACTTTAAACCACACAAAGTGTGTGCAACCAGTTTGACTACCAGCTTGTCCTGGAATGTCACTGTGTTCAGAATACAATAGGGTCTTCTCCTATTGTCCTTCACTTGTAACCAACTCTTGCAAGATTGTGATTATCTATTCAAAACGTTAAGTGATTTATTATAAACTGACGCTAGAATGAATTGAGGTGAATGAGATACGATAAAACAGCGTTTGTAGCAACAGTGTTACGTTATTTAGTGTGTAAAAAACAAACCAACAACGCTGAAGAAATGTGACCCATATTGATTTTTTTCTTGTGATACGTTGTATAATTATGATCTGAGATAATATGCCGCAGTCAGGACATCCTAGTCACCACCCTCTCAGCCATTTTGTCTACATGTATTTGTTGCCATGGTAATATTATCAGTAAAGCTATTGTTATCACAACTGTCATCTGCTTCAGTTAAATATAAAGTTTTATGAATTGAACTTTTTTTTTTATTGACATTTTAAATGTAGTCCATTTGGTTTGATTACAGATATTTATTGTTGGGTGAGTTGTCATGGCAACAATGGAAACTACACAAGAAATGACTAAGAAACTGGATGAGGAATTTGATGGTGCTTTGACCGAAATGAAACCGTTTGTACTGAGGCTACCACACAAATCAGGTAAAAACAGAAACTAGGTCAACGTGTCTACAACAAGTGAATGTTGTACATACAACAATTATAATAGATATCACTGAACTGTACAATGGCTGGAGAACTTATTTTTACAGTACAATGAGTGAGAATAACAACAGTAGAAAACTTTCAGTATTGGGTCATAACATTTTGAAGATCCTCGTGTGGGCTTTTTTGATTTTTTTTAAATATATGTATTTAAGTATTATTTTGATATTTTATTTTTATTTTAATTTATTAATTTATTTCTGAGACTTTTTTGAAGTTTTGGTAATCATAGAAACTCATGTGGCAATACAATAAGATGTATGTAATAAAAATGAAAGCAAAACTACCAAATAATAAAAATATAAAATAAAATATATTAAATACAAAAAATGCAAGCCGTACAAAACAGAACATATCGGTAGATACTAAAAATGAAGTGTAATTGTTTCAATTATTTTGATAATTACAAGTTGTCAGTTTTAATAAATCATAAATATAATATTGTTTGTGGCGTAATATTACTGTTAAATATATGCTCATCTCCTATGTGTATAATACTCTTGTTTTGTTCAAAGCAAAATAACTAATTCGTATACATGTCACTGAAAAGCACTGATACTCCATGTCGTAAGGACAGCAGAGGAATTTTTACTGCTACAAAATTCACGATTTTTATTGACTCGCGAAATTTGTGGGAATTTGTCTCTCTCAAAATTAAAGCGGTTTACAATATATAATCAGACATTTGCTAGATTAGATTTTGTATTAACTGATGATGTATGGTACTGGGCCAATGACTGTAGTGTAGTCAAAAGTGGATATGTTAATTAAATACTGTATTCGCTATATTAGAAGCATTGTTACAATGTCTAAATTTGTTTTTTAATGTTATTTTGTTTTTATTTTTTATTTAGAACGACAAAGGTGTGCTTTATGGATCAAGAAATTATGTGAACCACCAGGTTCTGGGGTCACTGGAAGGTAAGGATTGACAGGATTTTAGTCGATTGGTGTTTGAGTTATTTGAAAATGAAAATATCCATTATTGATGTTCTGATACAAGTTACTTGTGCCAGTCAGAACATAGCTGGAGATTGTTATCTAGCAACTGAAAAATATAGATAAGTAGTTTAGTTTAGTTCATAGTTTCTCTTGATTTAGTGGCCGTTTTTGGATCATATCTCAGTTGCACAAAAAAGTACTTAAAACAATATGGAAAGAAATTAAAAATAGCAATTACAAAAATATGATAGAGCCTGCAGTTCTCATTCTGCAATTATACTCTTGATTGACAAAAATGTAAAAACATAGTACTCAAAATTTGGCTCATGATTTGGCTAGTTATTAAAAAAATCAAATAGTAAACAGCATCACCACACATGTTTATAGTCCCAAAAATGAAGCCCATTCGAACAGGCAAAATATTCCACCAAAATAATGAGAATAATGATGGCACTCAAAGGGTTAAATAGAAGAGTTTGAAATCCAAGCAAGTCCATCTATATCTATACCCTTGTACAAGGTAGATTATTAAATCATTAATTTTTCTACCTGGCAAAATGTTGGTTGTCAGTAGTCTTTGGTCAAACATAATGTCTTGTGAACCTCAATCAAAGTTCCACCCAAGGACGTATCTGATAATGAATGAATTACAGTCAGTCGGCTCACCATTGAGGCTGTAGCAACCTCATTCGGGGTTGGAGGTTGATCTAGGTATGGTTTGTCTTTGGACATATCGATCATAGATCTCACTCGCCAACCTCCAGTGGTCAGTATATCACAGAATATTGATAAATTAAAAATATGTGCAGAGCGGTTCAACTTCTGAGATGATCACTTATGATAAATCGTTTTATTCCTGATTCGTAGGAAAAACAGGAATCTTTATGCTGAACTGTTAATGCACATGTTAAACCGTGGTGTTCTAGAAGGACCGTATTCACATAGACCGGATCCTGGTGCTTTACCTACGCTACCTGCCTACATGGTAAGTTTTGCTCTCATTAACTTCATCTCAATCACATCCATTCATAAAGTACTTTTTTTAATCAAATTCTACAATAAAAACTTGATTGTAATTCTAAATCTTGAACTTCAACAAAAATGACTAAACGTTTAGCAAGAGAAATTCAGACCATGAAATAGTTGAAAACAAAATGTTTGCACCTACTATACTCGTACATTATCCACATTATGTTCCTGGTCATTACTTGCATCGGTTAAAAAAACTTTTTTTTTTTGTCCAATTGTCCAAATGTTTGGAAGTAATGAACGTCAAATTTAATTTTGATGCAAAATCAAGCACGATTTCACACTCCACTGTAATCCATGCTACCTTGAACAATTTACTTCATGTAAAACTCAAGATAGACCTCAAGATAGAACACTTTATAGACCTCCTTTTTGAAACTTTGTATATTGGTACAAAACTTCAAATATGTTGATTTAAACATTGATATCAATTATTTTTGTCTGCATGCCATGTTTATATTGATTTTCTATCACATGTAGTTCATTTCACCACCAAGATTTTGTAAAACAGACGATTCATATATTAAAAACTTACACTACACTCTACACTACAATCAACAATTATTTTATTATATAATTATTATTTTTACTTTGCAGTCTATATACTTTGACGAGCCAAATAAGAAGAAGGTATCTTCCAAGAATCTTGAAGAAGCTGGCAGATCCACACCTGATTGGGTACAGGGGGAACTCGGAGAAATGTTCGTATTTTCATCACCCTCATCTTCATATACCAATAGAAATTTAGGAGAGCCAAACGGATCTTCTACACTAAGAGATAGGTTTCATGCTGTCATAGGTGGTTCTCCTAGGCGAAGGTAATACCATATAGCCAAGCAGTGCATTCTACAACTAAATAGTCTTCAACACAAAACAAGAACAGACCTTTTTCTCAATAGTTTTTGTCTGCCTTTGTCTAGACTAACTGCTTGTAGCATGTTTAATTCAAATCCTATTGCCAGTGGGTGCTAGATTGCGTTCTAAATCATTTTTTCTTAATTATTCACCAGACCTAAGGTGTTCTAGTGGCCTAGTTTTAAAACCCAGTGTATATAAAAACAAATAAATCTTTGTGTTAAAACCCAGTTTATAAAAACAAAAGATTTAAAAAGTTTCATTTTTGGTGTCACAACCAAGTACCGTTAAAGTCCTATTATAAACCGCGGTTTATATTACAATGTATCAATTTAAAAATTGGGATCAAAAGCTCAAGTTCGGGGTGCGGTTTCTATTACGTACATATTGCAATCACTAAATGGGCGTGGTCATTTTTTTTCCACAACACATGCACAAAACAAACAATAGTACACTGTACAATTTCTTGAATAGGCGTCGGGGAAGAGTGAAAGGCCTTATTTTGGTTCTAAAATAGGCGTTACGAAATGTTGAAAAATTACAGTCAATCAAAAAAAAAT